AAGCAAAAGTCCTATAAGATATTTTAGATGTTAAAAATTTAAAATTTTATATTTAAATTTTAAAATGAGTAAAGAAGAATTTAAAAAAAATATTTTTTTATTATATAATTTATTATTTTATGTATTAAAAGAAATTTAGATAAGTTAAAAAAAGTATTTTACAGTTTTGATTATATAGAAATGTAAAAAGAGTAATCATATGTGTATAATTTATCTATATGCTATAATTTTTATTTTCAATTTTTATAGTTATTAAATAAATTAATGCATATAATATTATAGTTATTGATTAAATAAAACTGGTTAATTATTAAATGAAATGTAAGGTTATAGAAAAAAATTATATAATTAATAAAAGTTGTCCCTTAATTATTTTTTAACATAAAATACTACTAATCATTGAATTAGGGAAGGTCCTTACATTAATAGATGGTGTATTGTAGTTGGATGTAATTTCAAACTATTAGGTGTTGGGTAAGATAAGTAATTAAATTTGAAGTAACAAATCTTTTCCTTGTTTATTTTTAATAGATTTAGTTTGATTTTTTTGACTTATAATATATAAATTTTGAATAAAAATTTAACATACTATATAAATAATAATTAAAATTTTTTTATCAAATAAAAACATTCAACAAAAATTACATACAAGGAAAGAAATTAATTGTTATTTATATATATTGTTAAATTTTTATTTAAAATTTATATTTTAAAAGTTAAAAAATCAAACTAAATTTATTAATTAAAAATAAACAAAAAGTAATGAATTAATTTTTCACAATAAATGCAACATAAACATACCACCTCTAGAAAAAAAGGAGGAAAAATATCTTCTTTTTTTTTTTTTTGAACATGCGGAGGAAAAATATCTTTAAACCAAAAAACAAAAGAAAAAGAAACTAAATCCAGACTTGTTTTGGCCTGTCTTTGTTTCATCATAAATGAAATCCCCGATGAAACGTGCGCGGTTTGTGGTTGATACATTCAACCATTGTAGAGGGTAGGGGACCTAATTAATTTTTTTTAGCATGAGAAATGGATTTGCAAACATTATAACGTGGGCAGTCAAATTTTAACACATTTTTTTACTTGGTGTCTGGGGCTGCGTGCAATGTACGTATGTGGGCCTTTATTGGAGTAAATATAGGAGTATGTAATAATGTAATTGTGGCCTCAAAAATCAAGAGTCACTTAATGATCTCACGGTTATGAATCCCATTTTAATTCTTTTTTTTTTTTTAATATTATCCAGCATGATATTATAAAAATAATTTTTTTATCATATTTTTATATAATTTTACGTATTATTAAACACATATATATTCAATATTATAAATTTTATATAAATTAAAAAAATTAATTATTTAAATAATATATTAAATTATATAAAAATATGATATAAAAAAATTGTTCCTAAACCATTTTTGTATTCAGTCAGCAATTTTCATGCTTTTCTGAGATGAAGCGATTTTCATGCTGGGTTGCGGAGAAAAATGACAGAAAAAGGAAGAAGAAAAAGAAGAAGCATTTTAATTTCATGCTGGTTAGGTGCCGAGATTGACTCCCCAGATTTACCTGCATTAATCGAGTTTGCATGGTTGCCAAAAAGAATCCGGTTGTCGTGATGCTGAAGTCAGTAATTGAGGATATTTTATATGCTTTTTTTTTATTAAATATTAATGGTCTGATATTTCTTAGCAAAAAAATTATAAAATTATTACAATGCTACACCAACTTATAGTTTTATAATTATGATATATTATTATATAATTAATTATTTTTATTTAAAATTCAGGTGTGATAGTAAAAGTAAAAGACTAAGAGCCTATTTAATTTAAACAATCAAAAATAAAATAATTTTAACCAAATAAATTAAGCGTTGACCAACCAATTTAATTTAATTAGTTGAAATTTAAAAAAAAAAATCATTTCCCTTCATCTTTTAATTTCAAACTATACAAGTTTTTAATCTTATGGGAAATTGTTATTGTCTACTATTGGCTTATTTTATCTTGCTCAAATAATAAAAAATTGTATAGTGAGGAATAGTTATTTGCTTCTACGTTATTGTGCCCCTAAAATTTACTTTATTTTTACAATTTCTTTAAGAAGTAGTTATTCCATTGGTCAAAAGAGCTTAATATGATTAGGTGATAGGTCAATGAAAACCTTTTCAACATAAGAGTAAGATAAAAATTATTGTTTCATATTTATTGATAAAAAACTTAAAATCTGTTTGGTTTTAGGAAAATAAAAAGAAGTATAAGGAATATTAAAATTAAAAATTTTTCTAAAAACATAAACATAGGAAAAGATTTGAGTAATAGCAAAATACTCCTTAAAGCTTGTGTATTTAAAAATTAGAGACTCATTGTTCACACTATAACATTTCTTAAAATTATGCTACGAACTCAAAGTGTAAAATTGATGCATGGTTGATAAATCAAGTTTTACTGATAATAGTTTGGCTAAATTAGTATTTACTAACTAAAAAACTTTAATTTGATGTCAATATCAAGAGTTCAAACATCTGCATACTGTGTAACATACCCTTTGATGTTAAAAAAAAAAAAAAAATCAGGTTTTAAGTATTAGAGCTATGGGAAAAAAAAGTATTAGGACTACTTTTACTTTACAAGTAATTTCAGAGGTCTAGGATAATTTCAAACTGTGGTCCATTCCGCTTGTTCAAATGTTGATTCAGCGGATGAGGTCGTGTACGGACCAGTTCAAACTTCAAACCCGAAAATTATAAAATCAAATGTTAATCAAAACTTTAGAAATTTTTTTTATCCATAAATTTGGGTATCGATCATATATGATGGACCGAGATTTAATATCATCTCATACTAAAAAAAAATTTGCATTTAAAGATATTTTACATATATTAAAAAGATTTTTAAATAATATATATATGAATAAAACATCACTGCCTTAAAAGAATAACTCAATTTATTAAAAACCGTATATCGAATTCATAATTTAAAATTTCTAAATCTAAATGTTAGGTTAAGTGGAGTAGAATTTAAAAATTAAAAAAAAAATAAAAACACTTCTTTTTATATAGTGCATCATCATTCATTGGTTCATTATTTAAAGGGGTTAACTATAATATTAATATTATATTATATTATAAAAATAATTTTTTTTAGTAAATAAGTAAAAATTTTAGAGAGTTAGGGGATTTGAAAGTGCACTTTTAAAACTGATTTTTAGTCAGTCAACCTACAAGGATAGGTGCGTAAAAATAATTATATTTAAAAACATTATACGTATAATATTACATATTCTTAAAACCATATGACCAAAACACCGCCGGCTCCCTGCCGCTGCCTTTGAGGAATTGCTGGACCAGTTAAGAAATATTTTTTTTATGCTAATTATACATAAATGAGAAATAATTATTTTTTTTATTTTATTTTACCTATATGATATTTGATTTTAATTCAAAATTTTTTATTTTTAATAAAAAAAATAATCACTAAATTATTTAAATTGTTGATGATTAATCAAAAATTCAATTTGACTTAAAAGCTTTTTTTTTTTTTATTCAGCCAAATAAAAGTTTTTATTTATTTTGAAGTAATGGGTACACCTAACCAAAAAGTTATTAAATTTGAACTTTTAATCGACTACCAGTAGATATTTAGAGAAAATAAACATCCTTCAGTCGCCCTCGTAGAGCCCATCATTTTCCATTTCTCATTTACTGACGTGCCTGTCTCCTTTTTTTTTTGGTGGAATACGTGCCTGTCTCCTTTGCTTTATAATAGTGCGGTCTCCACGCAGACACCACCAAAAAGTTAAGCTTTACCTTTTTGCTTTTAGCTAGCTATCCCCAGCGCCCCTTTCATCTTACCCATCATAATTCCTCACCAACCACCAACCATGGTGACACAAGAAAAGAGTCTCTCCGAAGCCATGAACGCCAGAATCATCGGCTCCGGCACCGATCTCATCGTTCTTGCACATGGCTACGGTACAGACCAGTCTATCTGGGACAAAATCCTCCCTCCCTTATCCCAGCATTTCCAAGTCCTCCTTTTCGACTGGTCCTTCTCTGGCGCCGTAGAGGACACCAGCCTCTTCGATCCCGTTAAACACTCCTCCTATGATGGCTTCGCCAACGACCTAATATCACTCCTGGACGAGCTCAACGTGAAATCCTCCATCTTCTTCGGCCACTCCATGTCTGGATTGATAGGATGTATTGCTTCGGTTAAAAGACCTGACCTTTTTAAAAGTCTCGTACTCATTGCAGCTTCTCCTAGGTAATTAATTGTACTTTGATGTTCTTTTTCCTCTTTCTTCAACTCCTTATATTTACAGGTAGAAATCCCGCATCCAGGGCCTTAACAAGTTCAATCATATCTCTACTTATTATCAACTGATTTTAAATTCAATAGGTCGTTTTGGTTTGTTTTCTCTTGTTTTTCTTCTACTAAGAAGTAATTAAACATGTGGACAGGAGGCATCCGGTACATGGCAAATTAGCTACAGTCCAGTTTGTTTTATTTTGTCCCCTGCTTTCAAATTGTGTGGAGGATAAACTCTGAAAACTGTATAATTAAGAATCTTGTGTTAAATATCAGACCTAAAAATGGGGTCTTCCATTTTTGGATCGAAGTCTATCATTTTTTTTCTGATTTTGACATTTCGCCATACAAAATAACATTTAACCAAAACACCTTTTGAGGTGAGATCATATTTTTTGGCTTAATTTTTCATTCATTAGTCTAAAACCATCCCGTGAGCACAATTAATTAATTATAATTATATGTTACATGTATATAAATAATGTTCAAGGCCGGCAGATCATATGAAAAATAGTACAAATATTCTGGAATAATTATTTTTTCTCTAGGTTTAGTTTTTTTTTTTTTTGAAAAGTAAAAAAATTTATTATGTGAGTACAAAGATACTCAAAACTATGAATATCAATATGTAAAGCTACATGTAGAAAATGAGATCAAGATACAAAAGCACAAAGCAATCCGAAACATAGAAACTAGGAATTCCGCTTCCCATTCAACCTCTATTTCCTATTGATTAAGCATCTCATTAGATTAGAAATCCATTTTATGAGAGAAAATTTTTTTGAATTCAAAAGAGTTATAACCCAGTGAGATAAATATGTTTGTACAAAGTTCAAACAGCTTGTCCTCATTAAACTTTTTGTGTTGAGGAGTAGTTTCATTCCTACTCAACCACTATGTTTAGTGATTAGTAAGATTCTAAAATGTTTGTTAGCTTTTTTTTTTTTTTTTGAATAGTTTACAATTTGAGAATTGGGGGAGAAAGATTTTTTAAAATATTGGTGGGACTTGAAACCCGACTAACTAATCCAAACACCTTAAAATTTGAGGGTAAATAATTTGATTCTGAAAGTTTGATTTAAAATATTTGTTAGTTTAAATTATTGTAAGTGAAACACTTCTTGAAAATTTTAGTTTTAATTTTTTTCCTTACAACTGTTGCAGTACTACTTGTATATTTTTTTTCCAAGATAAGGCAATTAGTACGATTTGTATTTTTAAAATAGAGCAGCCCTACCTGTGGCCGACTGCAAAGATTGGCCAAGTGAGTACTGTTTATAATTAAAAAAAATTTAACACTCAAAACAAATTAAAAGTCAAAGGTCTAAGTACAAGGAGCATTTCTCTTTAAATTATATATTAATTTTTTTTTTTTTTTTCAGACGTTGAGAAATTTGGAGATAAGGGATTTTTTTTTTTCAAGTAATAAGTGAAAATAGAAATCCTAACCTATTGAAACTCAAGAATTTAGGTTTGGTTGGTGAACCAATTTGGTTCAAAGGGCTGCTTCATATTAATTTTTACTTTTGTTGATGAATTGAAACGGGGAAATAATGTTTTAAGATGGAGGGAAGAATTCTGGATATTCTAAATTGTATGTTTGTTTGTTTGTTTGTTTGTTTGTTTTTTATTTTATTTTATTTTTTCTGTCTGCTACTGAGCAGGTATATGAACGCTGATGATTACGAAGGCGGGTTTGGGGAATCAGATATTGACGATTTGATTTCCATCCTAAAGTCCAACTACGACGCCTGGGCTAGTCATTTCCCTTCTGAGGCAATAGACGCCAAGGACCCTCTCTCCGTCGAGAAGCTCCGGGGTTGCCTGAAACGGATGAGACCGGAAGTGGCGATCCCGGTGGCAGAGATGGTGTTTCGCAGCGACTACAGGAACGTTCTGGAGAAGGTTTTGACTCCATGCACCATTATCCAACCCAGCAATGACAAAGTTGTCCCGAACTCAGTTGCCTACTACATGCAAAAGAATATCAAGGGGAAATCGACGGTGGAGATTGTGGAAATGGATGGGCATTTCCCACAGCTGACGGCGCACCTCCACCTCCTTGATGTACTAGGTGGAGTTTTGGGTTTTGAGATTTGATAACATGGTCTTTTAGAGTATGTATGTGTGTGTGTTTTTTATTGGCTGTGTAATATGGGATAAGTTTAGAAATAAATATGTTGGGTGCTGTGGCGGTGTGAGTTTAATGCTTTGTGGGGTAAACTAAGATGGTCTGTAGAACATTCCTTGTGTTATGTCCATGTGTTTAGTCCATGTGTTTGTTTTGGTTTTCAAAGTGACTGGAAGTAAAGGCTTTTGGCTTGTATTGTGGTTAGTTATTTTTAATACATATGTACTTTAATATGAAATTGGATAAGCTCTTTAGGCTTAATTCAATTTTTAGTCTATTAACTATC